TTCCATTTTTGTTGTTACCAGTCTGAAAGCAACGAGAAGTCAAATCGTTTGCAAAATGTGTGCAATGCATCATCATGACTGTAGTTACTACTGTCGTTATAGTTTTGATTGCTATCATGTTCGTCGTTATCATTATCATCACCATCATCATCATCGTTGTCATCATTATCATAAGTAGATGATGGCAAATAGACTTAAATTGAATCAATCCAAAACTCAGTTTTACCGGTTGGCACCAGGCAGCATTTGGAAAAATGAACATCTGGTCTATCAGACTTGGTGATTCTGACATTGAATTTTGCACATCTGCGCGCAATCTGGGATTTGTTTTTGATAATAACATGTTTTTTAACGTTCATTCGAGGGCAGTTTCGAAAGAATGACCTGGACAGTTGCATAGGCTTAGGCTCATTAAACTATCTTCAAGCAAGCATACTCTTCAATGTCTTGTTTATTCTTTTAACTACTCAAAAATAGAATAGTCTATATTACGGCCTGTGTGGTGTAAATATGTCTAGACTGCAGTCGGTTTAAACTTGGGCTGCAAGGTTGATTTCAGGCGGTCTTAAATACGACCACGTTAAGCCAATTCTTTTTGCTCTTCACTGGCTTTCGGTTTATCAAAAAGTCATTTTTAAGATATGTTTAAAGGTTTTTAAATGTATTAAGGGAGTTGCCTCTAAATATTTAACTGACAGAGTCACTCCTAGAACAATGCCACTGCTGTGTCAAATATTGCGCTCTGACAATTCAGGTTAACCGTTTGTACATGACACAAACTTGGCTTTTGGTCGAAAGAATTTTGCTGTAATTGGTCCTGCTGTCTGGAATGGTTTGCTTAAAAACTTTTGTAATTTTGCGTTGTCTGTTATTCAATTCTGTAAAAGTTTGAAACACCACTTTTTTCTCCAAGCTTACGCGAGCTAATGTCTTTTCCCCCATTCATTGCATTGCCTTAGTAAAGTGCTACCGACTGTACTGCAATAATCGTTAGCGCCTCTGAGATCTTTTAAAGGGCGCTTGCAAACACATCAATAATAAGAATAATAATAATAATATCATCTATCTTATTATTGTTATCTCGTTATTACATAAGTTATCGTGCAATTATCAATTATTATTGCAATTAAAATATCTCTCACCTTCATCATCACCATAATCATCAGTATCAGCAGCATCATCATCTTCATCTATCATCATCATCCTCATCATCACCATCATCCTCATCATCACCATCGTCATTATTCTGCATTATCATTCCGGGCACTAAGTGACATTTTATTTGCTCTTTAATGGGCTTATTTTGATGTTTTTATGGCGGGAGATGTTGCCAGCAGTTGCAGTAGCAGCAGCATTTGTTATTCTCTTCCCGCATGTAGCGACAAGTCGCACGTTAGCGCACGCTGTCGCTTTAACGTTTCAGTTCGCAACAACACATTTTTAAAGATGGTGCTCATTTGGTGCTGTTGCGAATGTTCCAACGGTTTGAAACATCTTTGGTGATTCCCTCGATTCTTGACAGCTCCAATGGAAACAACATGTTTACTGCTGCGTCAAACATTTGATACTGTTTTTATTTTTACGATTGAAAATAGAGCTGGATACTTCAGAGTTAAGTGTTTAACTGTTCCGTTAAATAAATAACAACGCCATCAGTTTTGATGTGGTCCAAAAAATAAATTCTTCATTTAAGCCAAAATTAGACAATCATGTAAACCGGGGCTGTTAATAATGAAGAATCGCTATCGGCAATATTGATTTGTAGTAGTGGCTTCAGTATCGGCGACGCATTTGAGGCCGAGAATCGAACTGGATGTCGTCGATGCATTTCAGATAGATCAAAATCAATACTCAATACTATTATTTTTGAACCTCAGTAGGGTAAAAATGTTATCGAAATGGTTTTAATTTTTAAAAGTAAGCGCGTTTTTCAAGTGGTACACTCGGGACTTACAATCAGATTTTGCTGTCTTTTGTACATTCGTTTTTAAAAACATGTTTTTTTTCACTCTGTTTTTTGTATCTTGAAATATTGTTTATTAAAAAATATTTAACTTTTTAACCTACATTAATTTTTTCAAAATTTAAGAATTAGTCAATTTATTTAAAAGGTAGAATTTAACTTTTATTTAAAAAAAAGTTGTTTTTTCAATTTAAAAAAAAATGGAGGCTTTTGCTTCTTTGTTGCCGTGCAAATTCCAGACTTCAAAATTTGAACCCGGATATAAATATATATTTCAAATTACATTGAATTTTTTTATTGCAGCTTAACGGCGTTTCAGCACGATGCGGCTATTTTAACGCCCTTGTATCATTAGAAACTGATTATTTTGCTGTGACATCTTGAAAACTTCAAATTCTGTTGATCAAATCTATCTCCCCCACAAATAATATCAAGACTTCCTGACTTTTATTCTGGAAGAGCAATTCTACATTTAATGGAACCCCGAGTTTCTTTCTGATCTGATCGTATTTTTCACATTCAGTTAATTTATGCCAAATAGATAGTGCGCCACATTGAATTTGATGCTTCCAACAATCTTAACGCTGTCTTTTAATGTAATTAACTGTTAATATCATCAGTATGGATGCAAGACTAGTCCCGGCTTCGAGTACCACCATTTGTAATGAATGAAAGGTAAGTATTGGTATTGCCGACAAAACCTTCAACTTTGGTGTCGGTTTTGGATTGGCAACATTTATTAAAATTGTATTGATGTTAGCGGTACAATGTTTGAGTATTGTTACAACGCTGATTGATGTTAGCTAGTGATAAATTTGATAATGGCCAAAAATGGGCGAAAAGAATCAAAAAAATATATATAGTGATAGTGAAATCAAAGCGGTTGAGTGTTGTTCATTAACGAAAAATGTTAAAAAAACGTCTCCAATGAATTTATTAAAAAGCTGACAGTCGAGGCAATTGCAATTTGTTTGAGGAAAGTTTGAAGTGCACATCTGGAAATAAAAATTTTTCAACAAGACCATTAAGAAATAATAACTGATCGGAAAATATACATCTGGGCCGCAATTTTAAAATTTCCAATTATGAAAATTTGTTCTCAATTTGACTGAATGAAGCAACACTGACATGCACCAAACGACGAACAATTTCTCTTCTGTTTTATATTTTTTTATTTCCTAAAATGACGAGTTTTGAATTACTTTTTCAATTGGAACAAACAACCAAAAAAAATTTTCAATTGCAAGCTCCTGTACAGAAACACAAATAAAACCCTAAACAAAACTTTTTTAAAACTCTCTAACCAAAATGATGTTTTAATCAATAATCGTAACAATAAGACAATTTTCACAAAATTTAAATTTAGAAATAATTGAAATATCAATGAAAATGTTTTTCATAAATAAAAATAAATTGGAATACGTAGATTTAAGCATAGATTCCGAAGAGCAAATGTTTTGTAAGAAGAGGAATAAAATGTTGTTACAATTAAAAGTTGCGGCTGAAAATCCTTTTGTGTGTCTGTGCAGATGAGATTGTAATTGCATTAAACGCCCGACATTCAATTCAATTGCGCATTTTCCAGCATCGTCGTCTGCCGATCGTTCCCTCAATAGCATTATTTCCTTATTTTTATTTTCCTATCTTCAATTTTTTTCTAAGTTTTGCAGCAGCAGCAGCAGCAAAAATATTTTCAGTAAAAAAATGTTTGGGGGCTGTTGAATTTGATATTTAGTTAGCAATAGCGACAGCTGCGTTGGCGGTTGACTCTTCAGAAGAATGAAATTGTTATTAATTGAAGGAATATAATCAGATTACGTGCAGAAGAACGTGACAGTGCAATAAACAAGCGAACAATAAAAAGAAAGTCGCATTGTTTCTTCTCGGAGGTATTCCATTGAAAAGCAGTGAATCTTGCATGAAAACAAGAATTATGGCGGAACCGGAGTTAAGCGGAATAAAAATATAATGACCATAAATTCAACTTTGAGATGCTTCGATGAAAGCAGACCTGCGCACAACATCCATAAACATCTTCAACATACTTCATTCACTAATATATTTCACCGAACCAACTCTGAAAAAATACATAGACACACGCATCTGTGCAAATCCGTTTCACATGCAAATTCTCAATCATTTTGATTCTAGATTTTCAACAACACGATTGAAATGAACTAAAAAATATCCTATTGAAAATAATTTTGCTTCAAAAATTATGTAAAGTTTATTTTGAAAAAAAAAATAAAACCCGTCGTAGTGTTTGATAGATCGTGTTGAAGATTCCATGCAGTTGGGAGTGTACGCAATCGAAGAATGTGGATTTGTTGTTATTTCAATTGGAATGATCAGCCCTTGCGCGCCATGAAAGCGTTCGTTCAAACAAAACTGAGACAACATGCACACGTGGTCTTCAATAAATTTCGTCATTAATCTCATTCCTCTACATCATACGTCTAGACCTGATACTATTTGTTCTTCATTTGCATATTTGTTTGCGTTCAGAAATATAAAAAATATTAAAATAAATAATCTGTATAATAGTTAAATATTTGATTGTGTATATAAATGGCTCAGAAACAGTGGTGGGTCTAGACAACTTTGATGGGGGGGGAGGCAAAATTTGAAAACGTTTAAATTTTCACGGGAGACCAAGATTTGTGACAGCCTTGTTGGCGACCTTTTTTGCTTCTCACGTTCAATTTTGTCGATTTTACACATAAAACGGTCTTTTTTCTGATTTTAATAAAAAAAAACTGCTCATAAGGGAAGGGTCAGTACTCCCTTCTAGGTCCGCCACTGCAGAAAGAGACGTGATTGGCTGGGAAAGAATAATGTTAGTTTCATCAAACTTTTTGTATCAAGGACTTTCATTGATTTGAGAAACTATTAAATGACAAAAGCTTTGCAAAAGCCCACTCTAGATAATTAAATAAAATGTTCTTATCACATGTTTGCAATTGTAATAATCAGCGATCATGGCAGTGAGGGTCACGTTCAATAACAATTGTGGTGATAACGTGGCTTAGGCTGCACGATGATCATAATCATGATTACTCCGGCAAAAACTTCCACAACAACCATCTTACAATACGGGCATCTGTTTTTTCGATGTGCATTGACTTTAGACAGATGTTGTTCTAATCCCGAGACAACTGGTCCCTTAATGCTCCCTGCCTGCGATCAACGGCGATTAAAAGGTTCTTTATCTGAGTTGACTTTACTCATACGCTTATGTTTTGGTCAATGCTTGCTATCTCAATTCCCCTAACTTTCTATCTCCGTTGATGTTTTTTTTATTTTTATTTTTTGTTAAGAATGGCTTTTCAATCCGTTTTCCCATTCTTTAACATTCTTTCAGACATTGCCTGAAAAACTTATACCATAGCCATCATTAATGCTGCTGTTTAGAAAGCACGTATGAATATTTTAACATATGCCCTTCTGTTTGCAATGTGGAATGTGGAAACACACATCAACGCCAGCGAATGTTGTGAATCTTACAAAATCAACTTCAGCAGATAGGAAAATGCCACCAACAACAACAAACAACGTCAAACAACAACAACAGGTACAACTGTGCACAACTATTTACTGATGTTTGAATTTTTTTATGAGAAGATAGAAAACAAGAAAGAGCACAGCAGGACACAAAAATTAATTCAAACTGATCAAAATTCAAAAAATGTTTCGTTGAAATTCACTTTTAACAACATACAGATGGGAACTTAATTGGGCTTTAAATGCCCACTTAAACCGTTTGGCAACTTTGCCATTTCACTGTGTATATATGTGTGTGTGTGTACGTGTGCATGTGTGTGTGTGTGCATGCGTGCGTTCGTATGCATGTGTGGATATGTGTGTATGTATATACGGGTGTATTTGTTTGTGTGTGTGTGTTGTGTGTGTGTATGTGTGTGTGGTGTGTGTAGGTTTGTTATCGGAGCATAACGTGTGTTTAGCATGTATGTTTATGTAAATGTCTGTGCATATGTGAACAAGCGCCTCTGTATTTCGTTGCATAAAATCGTGCACTGTATACATGTTTGGACTCGTGTTGATTGTGTCAGCCCGAATGTTATCATGTTTCATATTTATCGTTCTTTGATTAATTTGATGTGAAAACTGTGAAGCACTGCACGTTTCACTGTATGAGTGTTGGTATAATTGCAGATGTGTGTGCTGTTGATATATGTACAGCTGTGTGTGCTGTTGATATGTGTACAGCTGTGTGTGATGTTGATATGTGTACAGCTGTGTGTGATGTTGATATGTGTACATTTAGGTGATATTGATGCGTGTACAGATGTAATTGATGTTGATGTGTGTACAGTACAGTTCTATATGATGTTGATATGTGTCTCTACAACCGTACGAATGTTCTGTTGTTTAAATAACAACTTGATAACATTTGTGTAAATATACATGCTTGTTTATACTAAAGAAATCATTTTCGTCCTTGATTGTATTTATATTCTAAACACAAACGGTTACACAAACTTTACTGACACATGTAATAATCACCATCACATCATCACTTTCACATTTGCGATCCTCAGACCACATCATCATCGTAATCATCGTCCTCCCAATCAATCAGAACCACGTGAGTACTGCACATTCAAACATTTCAACGTCACGTGTTCCAAATTAAATGACGTCATATTGATGACGTCAGCGAGGTACGGACGAATGGCGAACAGTCAGTGCATCATGGCGTCCGATGCTTCTGTCGGCTGCTGGACGGAAGTTCTCCATTACATGGACAGGAAGTGTTCAGGTCTTTTTCATTCATTCATTCTTCTCATTCATCTATTCATTGATATTAAATCATTTAACAAAATTTTAGTAAAATTCAACAAAAAACTATTCACTGAACTGTTTGAACACTGCTTAAAGGAAAGAGAAGTTGCTTCGTAAGGATTCCAAACGCGAAGATGCACCGCCAGCAACCATGCGCCAAAGATTTGCTGACCTACCTCGAGGCCGACTACCAATGTCTTACTGGTAGGTTCTAACTTTCTCAACGTTCCTCAAGTTAACCGTTTTGATAAATTTCCAGTTAAAATTTTATGAATTTTCCGACATCATGTAATGGAGTTTTTCTTTCGAATTCATGCTGACGGAGTTTCAAATTGAACATATTGAACAATTTTTAATTTTAATTAGTGACAAGTTCCACGCGAAACAATCAGACAATTTTTGCCGACAATTTTAAATGCTGCACAATAAAAAATAGTTTAACAACAAAAAATGGCAGCACTACTTGCTGGGTTGAAAACATTTTTGATATGAACTTCAAATGCAAATAAATTATTCAACAACTTTATGCGAGGGCTTTCAGTTTAATTTTTCCGAGTGCCCTATTAGAGACGTGAAATGAAAATAAAGCTAACAAAACATTTTGTTTTAAAAAGTTAATCAATTTTGGGCTCCATCTAATAAATAAACTCTTTATTGCACAGAATAATTTTAACTTCGAGCTCCATCTAATAAGTAAACTCAGTTTATTGTACAGAATTATTTTAAAAAATAGCTAAGGAGTGACCAAGCAAGCTGTGATTACTGAAAGTCAGAAACCGCTGAAGACCCAGCAATAATCTTCGAACACAAAATGACCCTTCCACAAATCCAAGGCATTCAGTCTTGAATGTGAAATAACTGATGCATTATTTTTAAAACAATTAATACCAAATTTAACTATTTATTGAAGAATAATTATATTGTGCACTTCATGAGTGAAGAGCCAGCAAACAAAGTATATTCATTACTTACATAAAAAGGAACAATAAACAGTTTTCAAAAACAATGTATATTTTAAAAAGGCAAGCATATTATGAGCGCTGTTATTATGTGCCATCAATCTCAACACAACATTTGAAGGCAGTGTTTGTGAACCAGCATCAAATGAACGAACACGTGGGTGTTTGTTGTCCTTCAGAACCTGCACGCACGAAAAAACGTCTGTTAACGAAATATTTAACCGTTTGCATTGAGCAGGCAACTTCATTTAGGTTTGTGTAGTAACATTGTCATCTATAATACAATACGTAAACACGTGTTTAACTTTGATCCTGATACAGTTGAGACCGTCTCAAACGCAGAGGACACCTGCCAAGAAGCTGGACACTCGACAATTCACTTGAAGGACTCCACATCGGGCTGGCTTTCGAGTGAGGTTTCTATGGCAACCAAGGTGGGCTCCATCTACTGTCCCTGGGTCCTCGTCGTCAGCAAGGGACAAACACTCAAGGTAGTTTTTTATTATTTCTAAAAAAAACTTTTTACTTTTTTTTCCATTTTTGTCACTTTTTATTTTTGCTCTCATTTTTATTCTTTCTTGTTTCTCCTTTCAACGTATTCAAAAACAAAAATGTATGTTTTGTGATTGTGCTGTGACGACAATGAAAAATTATAATAAAATTTTTAGAAGTTGACGTCAGAGAATGATGCAGGTGCTGCAAGATGTTTTTAAAACATTCAACGTGTTTTATTCTTTGAGTTTTTATTGCTGGTGTTTGTTTTTTTGCGTAGAATTCTATGTAGGTATTGCGTAGAATTCTATGTAGGACCAGCATTAAAGAAACGATAGCAAAGTGATGAATATGATAATATGTTAGGATGGCAGGGGCGGATTTATGTTGGAAGTTGGAGAGCCATGACTACCCCCGTTGTTAGCTGTATTTTATTAAAGATTTAGTGAAACTATATCTGTACAAACGAGAACACCTTTTTAAGTAGAAAAGTTTTTGGCCACCCGTCAAATTTCAAAATTTAAAACTCCCTTCAACATTTTCATGATCCGCCACTTTGGGTTGGTGATATGATGATATGATGGTATAATAAAATGATGACGATGATGCGACGAAATGATGATAGGATTTGATACTATATCAAAATGATAGCATGATGAAATGATAACAAACGAAACGTGGTAAAACTACTTCTGGTTAGTAATTTGCCATGACAGACCGGCATTAGCGGTAAATGATGTGATACTTGTCTCCAACTACCTACCCTACATTTATCTGACGCTTGATTTGTTGCTCAGTTGTTTTATGCTGCTTCTGGAAATAAAAAAAGAAAAATTTATTTTGTGTTTTGTTTTTCCAGATTATTACGTTTAACAGAATAAGAACAAAGAACAGGGTATTTAAATTCAAATAGGGCAACATTTTCAAGAAAATATTTTATAATTAAATTGCTTGAAGTTAAATTTTCATGATCACAAGTTTTCATTTACAATATCAGGAACGTTATTTCTTTTTATATCCAACAGAGAATTAAAACAAAATAAAAACAAAATAAAAGTTGGAAGTTGGAAGGAAATAAAATGCCAGAAAAATGAAAACCTCTTGAAAATCTTTTGACGTACATAAGTATTTGAAGAAATTTTTGTAACATTGTATTTCTTAACAACAAAGGATTGAATTTCGTGAAAATCGTCCGAGCAAAACAAACGAATCGACTTAAACATTCATTAAATCATTATTCTCTAACGCCAGCTGGTTGGTAAGATCTTCAAACAAATGATGGCTGCGGTTGTTTGTTCAAAAAACTGAAAACATCATAGGAACCATTGGAAATATCACCTCGTATATTGCCTCACGAGGAACATGATCTGTTGCTATGTATCTGCCGTGCTTGTTTGCGAGCCACTTATCCACATGAAACCACTGGCAAGTTATTAATTCTCGTGAAATTATTAATAACGATAATCCATAGTCAACAATTTTCAATCATGATAACAGTTTAGCGCTCAGCGAAAAGATGAGTTTTTTTTCTTTAAAACTTTCAGATTTACTAGAATAAATCTAATAAATATATTAAAATGCAATCATAAAACGACGCTGGAGCAACAATGCAAACAATTGAAGAATGTTTTACTGCCATTTTTTAACGTGGAGCATGTTGGCTGTTGGTTGCTCTCACGGGGAAGGAAGATTTTTTCTGTTGTTCACGTGTTTGTTCTATTCATGTTGCTCAGGTGTTTTTTCTGTTCATGTTGTTCAAGTGTTTGTTCAGTTCACGTTGTTCGTTTGTTTGTCCAGTTCATGTTGTTCACGTGTTTGCTCAGTTCATGTTGCTCAGGTGTTTGTTCTGTTCACGTTGTTCGTGTGTTTGTTCAGTTCACGTTGTTCGTGTGTTTGTTCTGTTCACGTTGTTCGTGTGTTTGTTCTGTTCACGTTGTTCAGATGTTTGTCCATGTCAATCCTCTACTTGCTTGCACGTCAGAATGTGATTTATTGGCTTGGAAGGAGAGGGGTGGTTGGTTGGTTGGTCTGCTCGAAAAGCTGTTTAGTGGCAGCTGTGAAATAATTTAAATGCTTCCTCGCTGCTTCCATGTTGAGTTTCAATCGCATTTCATGCGTTGCGTTATCAAGTGCGTTTCTGTTTATTTTCTTCCATCCACACGTTCTACTTCCAACAATCACAGCTCAGATGGGCATTTGCAGCTGTCTTGCTTGTGTTGGCAGTGACGATTATTACAGTTTTTTCTTATCATTATCTTTATGATAACCAGCTAAATAGTAATAACAATAATAATAATAACAGTAGTATTATTAATAATAACTGTAATAATAATAACAATAATAATTTACAGTTAGTGTGATTGTTTAATATGCATGCTTAATAATATTAAGGGATTAACAGATCGCCTGGTTGATGTGCCACCACATACTTAAACACTGCTTCTTACTTAACAAATTAATCATACAATTGTTGCAGCGCACTAACCTATAGTTATGAAAATGTATCATGTCGGCCAATTGACAAATAATTTAAAATATATATTTACAAACTATAGAAACAAACATTCGTGCGATAAAACTTCACTGGAGTACACAAACCGATAAACGTGTTGTATGTGAAAATACAAACGTACAACATAATGTGATACATCTTTAACAAGGATATACAAACCTAAATACATGCCGTCTGTAAACATGCAAGCCCGCATCCATCTTTCACATAAACATACAAACCTACATACATCTTGTGTATAAACAATCAAACCTGCAAAACCTCTTGTGTATAAACATACAAACCAACATGCATCTTGTATATCAACATATAGATCAATATACATGTTTAATACAAACAATCATGTCAACATCTTTTGTTAGAATAAAAATATTATTCATCTGTAACAAATGCACTGCTCCATAAACATTATTCTGTGTTTACATTGTGTAATGAACTACCGTGCTGCCACAAAGCTGCAGACGCCTACAGCACACGACTTACAAACACATTTTCATGTGCCGCCGCACCATAGTTCCAAGGCGTCCAACTGTTTCTGGGTTTAGCACGGAAAGTATTCGAACCAGGTCAGCGCTCTACAACAACAACAATTCAAGGTGTGAACACTTCACCGTCTGAGCTAACCGGCCAACCATATCTTGCGTACGAACATGCGATCCGACAGACATTTTGTTTATGAAGAACATAAATATGTAGGAGTTCACAGACAAACACACACGCACATATGTTTATATACATTCACACACACACACACACACACACACACATATATATATATATATATATATATATATATATATATATATATAACACGTGAACATTTTGATTGAAATGATTCAGGGAACTATCAACCACCAACTGCAGCTGGAAAGCACTCAGGCACGATTCCATTCTGCTTGCGTTATTTTTTATGCATTTTTGTTTATATTGGGAGGTTTTAATTTATTTTTATGCCTGCCAGCTGGTGTGTTTGTTTGTTTGTTTGTTTGTTTGTTTTTTTGTTTGTTCGTTTGTTTGTTTGTTTGTTTGTTTGTTTGTTTGTTTGTTTGTTTGTTTGTTCGTTCGTTCGTTCGTTCGTTCGTTTGTTTGTTTGTTTGTTTGTTTGTTTACATTTGAACAATGTTCGAAATTATTATGTTTTTGTGATTGTTGATAACGCTTACGTCAAAGATTAAATGTTTACGTTGTAGTATTGTCGTGTGGAGATGATGCTGACAGGATCAATTCAGAAATGACGTCACGAGAGACAATAACATTGTGTAACAGTGTGGTGTAGAGGTTTTCGTGATCACATGGTGATCATGACGTTGATGATGATGATGATGATGATGTTTGATAATATGGTGATGATTATGGCGATTATGATGGTCATGTTTCTAGTGGAGTGTGAATTGGGTCAGCAAACACGGGAAATACTTTTTGATAAATCAAATCGTTGTTACTGCTGGTAATGTATCAATTCCTTGTGACCTGTTGCAGTTGGAACCTGGGTGGAAGCAGATTTGCGGGCTGTGGTTTTTGTTTTAGAGGCGAGTTAAGTATTTATTGTAACGACTTTAACAATTGATTTTATGAAAAAAATTATAGAAGATGCAAGCAATAAAGTTTAATATTATTATCGTCACAACAAATTCGTCAAAAATAAATTTCTTCTTTGAAAGCAATAATGCATCTCATTTTACGAAAATAATTTCCTTATAAAATTATTTCAAGTTTTGTTGTAGGCAAATTATAAAGCAATTGAAACAATAAATTAATAGAAAACTCGTAAGGAGTAATGGTCCGATTTTTATCAGCGGCTACTTCGATTCAAACACGCAGTGCTACATGATGTGGAAAACATAAAAAACCTATCGAGCCTCGTTACACGTGATTTAATTTTCAACACGTTCCTGTTGAAAAAACTATAATATATTAAAATTTAAAGAGCTGTTTCGTAAACTTCATGCTGTTAGCAGGAGACGTTATGAAGATTTATGGATGGATTTTGTGCCTGTCGACTCTAATATTGAACGTGAGTATTTATTTCGAAACAATCTCCTTATCTTCCTTCCGCTCTGCATTGCAAATTAGAACGATATTTGACGATTTGGGATTTTAACAACAGATTAATAGCACTAAATAACATGAAAATCATGTGGTCGGGACTATTTTAAAGGTGCCAACAAATATTTTCTAAAATATATTTTAATGCTTGCCAGACAACTACGAACAACAAATGTCAGAGATGCAATTATTCAGACCATCAAGAAGAGAACTTTTCGGCCTCAGTTTATCTTAGCCAATAAATTTGTGGCTGAATTGTTTTGTTATCCTTCTGCCATATATTCGAGTCCTCTTTTGCGTGCCTGTCTGCTTCTTTTGTTTGCGCGGCATCAGACTTTATTTTGTTTACCAAAAAACAAAAACAATTGATCGAAATATTTATATATTCTACGCATGTTTTCCATCTTAGTTTTGCACAATTTCAACATCCTATTTTGTATTCATCTGGTTGTTTTCTTCCTCTGCCTTACTTATTCATGCGGCGTACGTGCAACTTCTTTGTGCGGCTGGTCGGTGCGCGAAATATCCTCGCCTCATTCACGTCTCCTTCCTCTTTTCATCGCGTACTTTTTTCAAATTGTTTCTTCTGGCGATGCTGCAATAACAATTTCTATGTTAATTTTCTAAAAGTTGGAAAAATCTTTCTTTATAACGTTAACCAGACATGTGAGTGTGTTGAGTTTTTGCACTGATGTATCGCCATGCGGTGTGTGTTTGGCCATTCTCATCGATAGTTTTTTCACCGTTTCATTTAAGTTTTCTGATAATAAACATATTTTATTACTCTAAAACAAAATCGTGTAAATAAACAACGCAAATTTTTGTAGACATTTTTTTTGAAATATTACTCTAAAACAAAATCGTGTAAATAAACAAAACACACAAACAAATGCTCGTCGGAAAATATCTTAGACGCACAAACACAAAAACATACAATTTAAATTTAAAAGTGCAACACAAACTGTTGTTTCACGTTCACATATTATGACATACAAACACGTACAAACACGTACAAACACGTACAAACACGTGCAAACATACAAATACGTACATACACATAAGCGTAAAAACATTCAACCATGTTTACAAACTAGAAATAGCAACAACACAATAACACTCATAACAACACTCAAACATCAACACACACACACACACACACAACAACAACAACTCACATAACATACACACACACAACATACACAACAACCTACATACACAACTATTTACATACACGTACATCAAGAATCACCACACACACACACACACATACACACACACAAACAAACACACACACACAGAGACATAAGCACGGTCGTCGAATGTCATTGAAAAGTACAAGAGGCTTTTAGCATCGTAAACATTCCACTGAACAAGACACACAAACAGACAAACACACACGTAGACACACATATAGACAGTTAGATAACTACACAAATATACACTCACATACACACCTCAACATATATAAGCAGTCATACACAAATCCACATACACACACACACGCACACATGCCTACATGAGTGTAGAACAGATACAAAAAGTAAGAGAAAGGGGGAAAAGAGAGAGAGAGAGAAAGAAAAAGAGAGAAAGAGAGATTGAGTAAAAGTGAAGATCATGTTCCTTATGTAAGCAAGCATGGAAGATCATCATTTACAACCACCATGCACTTTCATCTCCACACTTCAACCGCCAAGACATTGTGTAAACTTTCGCCAAGCATCTCATGAATGACCAGCCTGTCCAATGCATAATATTTTTAAATACACCATCCTTTTGAAAATTATGCGTACATTTTCAATTTTTAATTTGGAAAATCAAATCAAATTTAAGACAAAATTTATTCAGTTTATCAAACAATCAAGAAGAACAATGAGCAGACGAAAAAGAAAAATAGTCCTTGCGTGAATCCACTGTCCTTCATAAAAAAACTAAAGTTTTTCAAAATGCTTCTTTGTTAGAAATATCAAAAATGCAATAACCACAATAAATGAAGAAGAATTAATTCAACTTATAATAAAAATATAATAAAATGCAGTATGAACATTTAAAAAACTATTCAAATATGAGAACATTTATATCTATATTTACAGCAATACGGAATAAAATTTAATAATCATAAAAAGCTAAACTATCTTCTGAACGTCCACCACACGGCAGACTGCATGTGCATGTATGCTAGAAACATTGTGCTAGTAAATGAAACACTCATTTCATCAGATTGCAAATCAGTGAAAACAAAAATCAAACCCATCAATTTTTCAAAAACTCCATCACCAAAATTATCATCATCATTATCGTCGTCATCATCGTCGTTACTACTTTCATTATCTCCAATTTTATTTGATATTCTCCATTCTTCATCGTCTTCAATCAATCAATCAATTATTCAACCAATCCCATCAATCCAATCAATCAATCAATTAATTAGTTTATAAAGCGAGATTTCCGCGATGTTCAACAGCGTTACTCAGTAAATTTTGGGGTCTTGATATCTTCTCTGAACTTCATAAGTAATGGAGAAGTTGTCAGAGAAGTAGGTAGAGAGTTCCAGAAAAAAGGGCCAAAAAGACCAAATGCAGATTTAGCATCAGTTTATCGTCAAAATTAACATTGGCAGCTACGTAGTATGCGCATGCGTGTATGACATTGTGCAGCCCCCATCTGTGCTAACTGAATCAAATTGAAGATAAGAGAGAAAAGTTCTGCAGATGAATTTTTCAATCAGATTTTCATTTCATAGCCTCATTGAAAGTAAGGCATCATCAAAGTAATTGATTTTTCAATCACGTAACAAGTAAAAAGTCATCGCAAGCAGCATCAGCACTATCATCATCGGCAAGTTCGCCGACGACATCTTCGCCAACCGCGTAAACATTGCCCACCCAGCCAGCAGAAACAACTCTCTCTGACTCACTCAAGAGAAACAACGACATCCAACGCATAAACAACAAAAAACAATTTCGTAACAACTTTATCGACCGAAATCAAACTAACAACAACATCAGCAAACCTCTTTCCTACCAACAACATCAACATCCTCATGCCTGCCAACAACAACAACAGCAGCAACAACAACATCAACAAACAAGGCGACATAAACAACAAAACAAAGAACAAAAAGTCATAAAACTTCAGCGGCACAAAACAAACTGCCAACAAACAATTGCCAAATCAGGTGAATTAACAAGAGCATAGAAATTGCAACACATTAATTTATTCATAGTTTCTGGTCGAAGTTGAGTGGGACGTTGTGGTCTTGAGGTGTTTGTATGTGAAGTAATTTAATATGCTGGTTGGTTGGTTGGTTGGTTGGTTGGTTGTTTGGTTGGTTGGTTGGTTGGTTGTTTGGTTGGTTGGTTGGTTGGTTGGTTGGCTGGTTGGTTGGTTGGTTGGCTGGTTGGTTGGTTGGTTGGTTGGTTGGTTGGTTGGTTGGTTGGTTGGTTGGTTGGTTGGTTGGTTGGCTGGCTGGCTGGTTGGTTGGTTGGTTGGCTGGTTGGTTGGTTGGTTGGTTGGATGGTTGGTTGGTTGGTTGGTTGGTTGGTTGGTTGGTTGGTTGGTTGGTTGGTTGGTTGGTTGGTTGGCTGGCTGGCTGGCTGGCTGGTTTGTTGGTTGGTTGGCTGGTTGGTTGGATCGTTCTGCATGCATTTGATCGATCAATCATAAATAAATCTATTCAATTATTCATTCATTCATCTGTTCATTTCTTCTACGACGTTTGTTTATTCCTTCATTAACTCATTCATTCCTTCATTCATCCTTCGTTTTTTACATATAATTATTTTTTTGCTTGTTTGCTATATCACAACATCGCTGAATTGTTTCATTCATTCAATCAATCATTCAAATAATCAATTATTTAATGATTCAATTAATCATTCATTCATTCATTCATTCATTCATTCATTCATTCATTCATTCATTCATTCAATCATTCATTCATTCATTCATTCATTCAATCATTCATTCATTCATTCATATATTAACTATTTCGTTCATTCATTAACATTTAGCCAATCATTAATTTATCCATTCATGCATTCGTTATTTATTTGTTTAATTTAAGATCCATCCATTACAACGTTGCTCCTCCATCAAAAGTTGCAGGCAGAGCGTTGATGAATGGATGTTGTAATGAATGAATCAATGTTGTAATGAATGAATTGATGTTATAATGAATGAATTGATGAATAAATGTTTTAATAAATGAATGTTGTAATGAATGAATTGATGAATGAATGTTGTAATGAATGAATTGATGAATGGATGTTTTAATGAATGAATGTTGTAATGAATGAATTGATGAATGAATGTTGTAATGAATGAATTCTCCACTTATCAGCTTAACAATGAGGAAGAGAATGGCTCAGTTGTAGGAAGAATAGGCAAGCGAGTTGATACACGCATGTCTCTAGACGCGAAAATTAGCGCTTATGTGTGTGCGTGTGTGCGTGTGTTTGTGTGTGCGTGTGTTTGTGTGTGTGTGTGTATGGATGGGTTCTTTTTCTGATGGGTAAATACTCCACATGGCTTCGAAAATCAGTAATAAAAAATAGTCCACTTCAATTGATAAGCACGTAATTTAACCACTAAAAAATAGAGCTAACTTATGATGAAAGTTTGAAACATTATCAGAGTTTTGTTGGACACCTGACCTCATATGAACACGCGCTGACACCACTAACATTCGGATAACTACAACTGCAGAAATAATTTATGATCAATAACAACCGATACTTTGCATGCATGGCGTTTTATTGAAGAGTCTCGAAATGGACAAACGACGTCAGTCTGGGAAGGGAACAAGCAGACAGGAGTCGAGTCGTGCGGCCGAGGAATTGATGACATGATGGCAGACCTGCGGAATTCGACTGCACAGCAATGCAGACAGCCCATAGTTGAACCTGCAGAAAATTCGAAACAGTGTAAAAAGGTTGTTGAATGGAAGGCAGCTTCTTATAATGCAATGATTGATAGGAAATTGATGACATGATGGCAGACCTGCGGAATTCGACTGCACAGCAATGCAGACAGCCCATAGTTGAACCTGCAGAAAATTCGAAACAGTGTAAAAAGGTTGTTGAATGGAAGGCAGCTTCTTATAATGCAATGATTGATAGGAAATTGCCACTGCAATTAAAAACTTTTATTAGAAGATTTTTTGTAACCAAATCAAAATTCATCAGCAACAAACATGAGTACAAAATCACAGTACCAACAATACGATCCTACAAAGTTATTACGAGTAATTCCGATGTGCAGACCATAGCATTGGTAGATGCTGCTTAAATAAATATATCTGCAAACATTGGACAAACAAAATCAAAGAATTGTAAAAGCAGAGCGAATGGAAAGGACGAGAGTAATTAATGCAGGCAGCTGATGAGGGAATAATTGATTGGTGGAACATTACGTCTGCGAGACTACAACAACACAGGCATCGATCAAACAAATAACTTACATTACATACACATTCATATACAATACTCTGCCTATTGTTTTGTGTTCTTCCAATGTTTATTCTACAATACATTATATACACGTAGGCGTATGTGTAGATATACTATTTGTGTTAGATTTATATAAATATATAAATAATTGAAAATATATATATATTCAATTCAATAATTCTTTTACTCAGTAAACAAGTACATGCGAAAAACATATGTTATTCACTAGAAAACCCAAAGCTCGCGCTTGTATGGCCACCCGGATCAAATAAAGACAAAATACTACTAAATAAAATGAAAACAGAACTAAGGTAACAAAACAAAAAGTTTCAAAAACCTAAATACATACATACATACACACATGCAAGCATATAACCACACAAATATGAAAACATACAATTGTACTGAAATACATGAGATAAATAATTAATTAATTAATAAGTAAAATACATTAAATAAAAAAATGAATAAAAGCAGTCAATGGTGTGTAAATGGCCAGATGGGATAAGATGTGAATAGATGTTTTGAAAAATCCAAGAGAGGGAGAGTCCTTAGCATGCGCCAGTAAGGTATCATAAAAATGCATAGAAGAAGATAAGTCTGAGTCAAGAAAAAAATTAGACCTTGGTTTAAAGAGATAAAGATCAGGATTAAAATGCAAAATATCTTTTTATATATTTAAATGAGATAATTTGACTGTAGAGAATTACACAATAGTTTAACATATATGCATATTTAAAAAAAAAGAAAACAAGTAAATAAATAATGTACAATATATATGTATGTGTATATATATATATATTATATATATGTATGTGTGTGTGTGTGTGTGTGTGTGTAGAAATTCTAAAAATTTTGTGGAGAAACTGCTTCTTCGTAAACAAACGCCAGCGACAAAGTTATGACGACGTAACGGTAGGCTTGAGTGAGGGATCAGTTAACGACTTGATGGTAGGTTTGAGAAGTTTGTTTGAATGAACTTTGGGTAGAAAAGGTTTCAAATTTTGCTTACATTGCTTTACAATTTTACATATATCACTTTAAATTTTTACATGCATCAGTTTAATATTTTGAGTCCGTACAAAAAAATAAGAAGCGGATATTTTTTCATGACACGGAAATGTGAAAAAAATAAGAAGACATAAAAGTTCATGAAGCTTAACAGTTTTGAAATGTCTTCAAAACCCGGTATTGGATTTTAAATTAAATTTTAAAATAAGTTATTTAAAAAATTTTAAATAATATGCTCATAAATTATGTCCATGTTTGTTAAAATGAAATTCGTTTAAATGTTTGCAGTTACATACCGCTACGGGGGTTTCAGGAAATTTATACAAAATTAACAAAAAATGAAACGCGTAATGATTCAAAATGGTTAATAAAATAAGCCAGACTGGTATTCTGTTTTGATTGATGTTACTCAGTTATTTTCTTTTTTGGATTACTTTGATGAAAGTATAAGTTTTACAACATTTTTATTTTATTCCATTTCGGAAACTTCTTGCTTCGACAGCGTTCTGGACACGATCGAACTAGAACTGGCTCGTCACGTTTTTTGCGCATACGTTAATTTCAAATATAATTAATTAGTTTATTATTTATAAATTTTAGGCTATTAGTTTTTATTTTAATCAATTTCACATTTTCAATTTTCAAGTAATCACGCTAATATATATATATTAATGGAACCACTCCATCGGGCGGTCAACATGTATGCACGGACAGTTGGTCTGACTGTTGTACAGCTAATAAATATTTAACGTTTGTAATGATAGATTTGTTTCTAAAATATTTTGAAACCTTTTTTAATGAAGAAATATCAATTTACTAATCATTCCGCTAACTTGGTCTACTTACCAAGCACTTACCAAACAAATTATTTCACCTTTCAATGACACATCAGTCAGAAGAATGATCACCAGTTGAAACAGATTGAATTTCACACCAATGCCAGCAATCAAAGTTTATCAAATTCGCCAAAAGAAAAAAATTAAATTTAGAGAAATTATTTTTTGTCTGATTTGAAAACATTTTTTACTTTTAATACAAACAACATGCTTATTTTTTCTTTACGAGCTCTTGACTTCGCATAATAAATGATGAACGGGCGAGGAGATCATTACGAATCATCGTTTTGTTGATGAAGAATATTTTTTGTGCGTCACCACCGACCAACGATTCATTGAGGATGATGTTCAGCAAAGGTTTAGCATTTATCGTTCAAATTTGAAAAACATCTGAAAAAATATTAAAATTTCAAACAAAATGGAATTACTTTTTAAGCAGATAAAAAATAATTGTTATAAAAAAAAACGTGACGCTTGGTTGACGTTTGAAATACATGAAATCGTCTGCTTCCAAGCTGACTTCAACGACGACGACGTCACTGGCTTCTTTTTTCAACAACTTCACTGCAATGTACTGTTGCAACATGTTAAGTGAACAATCGTTTGAGACTGCTGGTCACGTTTGCATTGAAAAAGTAAATCACTTAAGTCGGCTAACTTCAACAAATTTCATTTGCCAAACATTTAATTAATTAAATGAAGAGTTTTGACACGTGAAACATCCAGCGAATATTCAATCGAAGAAATTCTTTCAGTCGGGAAATTAAGAAGTGTTGCGTGTGTAAGAAGAGTTATGTGCAGTGTCAGAAGTGTGGGCGGATTATTGGGTCTCCAGTCCACGCAAAATAATATTTTAGACAATATGCATATATTTTATCTTCAATTCAATCTAAATGTTCGTAAAAAAATGCTTAACATTTTCCTCTCTCGTGGGACTGACATTAAAAACAGGTTGAGTGGAAAATAGCCATCAACATTTTACAAATTTCAGGCCTTCCAACCAAAAAATGTTGATGTACATACCAGGCATGCAACAAATTTAATGTTGCAGCTGTCATATTCGCAGAGACATCATTTTGAAGTGTTACATCATTTAAATAGAGTATCATTATTTCCAATAAAAAGTTTATTTCAACAAAAATTTTAACAATCAAAACTATTAGTGAGCACAGACAATTCTGTTCAGTTCGAGGACGACAATATCGGTTGGAAGCAAATAATTTATTGTTAAATGCCACTTTGAATAGTAAAAATGACTCCAAAACAGAAGTTCTGAGTTCGGTACGTTCATGTAAATGTATATAACTACCAATGTCTTAATTGATGTAACGTTCTGATTGCCAGTGTGTGTGCGTGCATCGCTCTGCTAATGTTATTTTATAGGTTTACGGGAATTTGTTGTGCAAGTTGAGGTAAACGTGAGTTATCGTACAGTGGGCAGGTAAGCATGTCCAAATTAGCCGAGCGCGTTGGAGAGAATAAATGACAAAGATATATGCCGGCAACGTTTTTATGTCAACATTACAAACAAATTCTACAAATCTTTTACAAGAAAATAATAATATTAATAATTCAACTATAAATATTTTTGCACAAGCTTACAAAAAATCTACATAAACAAATTTGAGATTTTGCAAACAAATCTAAAAGGATGTTTTCATAAAGTGGGAGACTGTTTTCAGACTTGCAGTAAGCACCTTGTTGGTGGAAACATATCTCAACAACTCCTCTAAAAAATACATGAACCCCATCCAAGACCAGCAACGTTCCGCACACTAAAAACACAACCAACTCAGGCAGCATCATCATTCAATAACATCAACAATAACGTTAACAACATCAACATGAAATTTTAAACTGTTTTGCATAGTATCAGAAACAAAGTATACACACAAAAAATAATATCAATTCTGAACAGCAAGCACTTCAAAACAACGAACCATTCAAAACTTCCCTTTTTAAACATTTTTCTGCATATTTATTCACTTAAATAGCACGGCTTGTATATTTTATTTTTGAGTGGGCATAAGGAAACGTGTTTCTCCGCGCTCATTATTCCATAAATAAAGAAAATTCATCTCCGCAACAAACAACAACTTTCAACTGTGCATAAACTCAAAACAACACACAACAACCGCGGAAACACAACAACACACAAACTCATTAAAAACACAACCACATACACTAACATTGGAAACACAACATCGAGTTGAACCAATCAAAAATATCAAATAGCAACAACAACAACGACTATCAATAACATGAACGCCAACCAACTGGACAGCAACAAACAGCATCAAAACACCCTGCGGTAGAATATGAATAAAAAGTTGAAGTTCTCACTGCCGATGTATGTTCTTGGATATCTTTTCAGAATGTCTTAAAATTGAAAACTCTCTCACCAATACGTTCACTGGGAAAATGTTTGAGGCAATTTTGCACGAGCCACACTCCCCAATACAAACCACTTCCACATTCGTGCTGAAATTTGCATATTCATGAGTAAATAGGAAATTATTATTTTGAATTTAATACTAAAAAATGTGAAAGATTAAAAGAATGGGAAAATAAAAAAGTTGAAAAAGTTAAAATTTTAATAGTCTAAAAAATTAAGTAGAAAAGAAGGGATGAATGAAACAAATGATAGACTGAGCGACGAGCAAACGCTGCATCTATTCTACAAACATCAACATCCATATCCACATTTATAGCTTCCTACGTAATGTACATAGAAGAACATACAT